GTTATCGTTCCATCGTTTATTGTGTACATCTTACATCATGATAATAGATACAAAAATAATTATCAGTGCAATTCCAGTAATAAATTTATAAGTAATGACCAACGCCTAAAACGACCAAAAATATGAAAAAACTTACCGAGCTAGCACTTATTGGAATTTAGTTTTTATAACTAAAACCATGTATTTAACTACTTGCTTTTGATATTAAAAAAAAAAAAAAAAAAGGTGGCATACTTTATATAAATAAGACATACATACTTTTTTGCTTGTTGCTATAATTACACAGCTTTTCATTAAAAAAATCTATCAACACATTTAACATATAGATTTTCTTTTTTTTAACCATTGCCTACACACAAAATGACACCAAGAGTAACATTTTTAACAACAAACCCATTTTACTTAGAAAAAAAAATTCTTTAGAGTAAAATTTTGAATAAGGTTTTTTTAAAACAAACATGTAATATCGAGATGTCCAGTTTTGACCCATTTTTTTGTTCTTTTAAGTTCAGTTTTAGAAGTTTCTAAAGGTAAAACAACTTTTGTATACTTTTTTTTTTTATAAGAACACTTAACTTATTCACCAATTTTTGTTGTTAAATAAGGTACAAATAACAATTCCTCAAAAATATTTGAATTGAAAAAATTTATTCTCATTTGCACAAAACCGTGCACAGTAATGGCTGATGTTGCACTCTTAAAGTCTGCATTCTTTAATAAGCCAGCATTCTGAAAGTGTCACAACTCTATCTGGATGTTGCATTAGCTATGACTGAATCTTTTGATCATAATATATCTGTAATGTAATGGAACACTTCCAAAATGTGCAGAATAACAAAAATTGAATTACTTAACAATGTAAGCTTATAACAGTGATTATCTAGGTCATACATTAAAAATCCAGTAAATTTTTTTTCTAAAAAAAATCTGGAAATATAAATGTAAATTGTGTAATTTTGATTAATTTAATTTTTAACTTTTTAAGAAAAGTAACCTTATGACGTAGTACTGTGGATGTTACATTGCTATTTTAAGAGGCACGGCTGACACAATTGTGGGTTTGACTTAAATATAGGACTTAAATATATACTTAAATATAGGCACATAGGTATGTACATAAATCGACTGACTTAAATAAGGAGTCACAAATAATTATTCGACAGTAGAGTGTACATAAATCGACTGAAGGTTTAGGTCTTTGGCAGGCATTCTTTTAATTAAAAGAAAAGCATTTCAATACTTATCTAAATAAGGTTTATAAATTAATTTAATTTATATAACAAAATTATTAAATTAAATTACACAAGATTTTTAAGTGAAATAGTCAAAATAATTAATTTTACACAAAAAAAAAAAAAATAGTTGTACACATGTACAAAATAATACCTAACCCAACTAAATATCAGTGATCATCCAGGTCATATTATAAAAATCCAGAAAACATATTTCAAAAATATTTACAAAATACTTTTTCAAAATTCAGAAAAAATTAAAGTTGAAAGAAATATCCATGATTCTGGAAATATCCAGAAAAAGATAATCCGTGAAATAGAGCATAAAGTAATTTTTCCAGATAATTCTTTAAAATAAAATTTTAAAGAATTGTCTGGAATTCTGAAAATATCTGGAAAAAGATAATCCCTGTTATAAGCTTATTAAAAAAACATTCTTGAAACAAAATATAAGACTCTTACAAAAACTTGCTCAAAAATTTTAAAATTTCAACATTAATATTTATATATTTTTTAAAACTTTTTATAATAAATTAAAAATAAACTTATTGTTATATCTGCGTACAACAACATTTATTACAGGGGAAAAAATTGTTGTTTTCATTCTTTTAATTTTTCTAAAAAGCTATACACACAATTTAAAAATATGCAATATACACTTCACAGTTTAAATAACACACACAATTTAGAAATAATTTTAAATAAAGAAAAGCATCATTAGGATTTATCAATATTAAAACATGCCTGATAGAACCCTATTTGGAGAACTGAACTTATTTTATCAAACATTAGTTCTGTTAAATGCTAAATACTGTGTTTATAATTATTGATACAATATGTATTAAATAGACATAATATATACACCAGGCTTGGTCGGGAAGCGGGAGCGATCGCTCTCGATTGCTGACCAAAAAAAAAAAAAAGCGACAAAGAATAATTGGACCAATGAGAGACAATTACAAAAAAAAAAAAAAGTAGGCAAATAAAATATCTATAAACGCGAAAAAACTTTAAGCTAAATAAATTACATTTAAAACAAATACTTTTGAAACATCGCTTTTTGATAATTTTTTTTTATAAAATTAAGCGATGTTTTTTGTAACAACTTACGATTTTTTAAAAGGGAAACAAATATTCTTTATTTAACTAAGTTTGCAAGTTTTAGTTTTACTTAAGCTAAATTATTTTATAAATAAAAAAGTTAATTTTTTTAATACCTGTTTTATGTTTCGCGTAGTTAGAAAAGTTTAACATATTTGAAGCGATTCTTCTTAGTAAGATAAACAAATGATATAATTAAATCATTGAATTACTAAAGGAATTAAATTATCAAGATAGAAATCAACTAAAAAGGTTAAAAGTACTTAATGACCAGGAAGCGAAACTGCTTCACAATATCGCTGATGATGTTTAGTGAGTGGGCTTTTTAATTTTAATTAGTATTTAAAGCAGAAAAAAGTATAACGAGTTTTAAGAATGGCAACTTAAGCGAAAATAATTAGAGTTTGTAAACCAATATCTAGAAACTTTTCTTTATATCTAATTATTAGCTATTATATATTTGTGTTCTGTCGTGACCTCAGGTGCGATGCTTGTTCATCCACGAGTTACTTTGTATGCGTTGTTTGTGTTTAGTAACCAGAAACTTCTTATATGTTTGTTACATAATTCAGGCCTTGCGATGAATAAGAACTGCGTGACACATAAGCACGACGTGATTTTTGACGTCATTAAATTCTTTTTATTTGCTTTTCATATTTATCAACATTAACTGCACCAATTTACTTAATTACCGCAAAACTACTTTGAATCGTTTATGTAGAAATGTTATCATTTAAAAATGTTTTGGAATGTTTCGTTTTTTAAAATGTAAAAACATTTGTGTATTTTCTCGACGTTTGTCACGTTTTGTCTATACTAAACAATAAAAAACAACTTAAATTTAAAAAAGATTATAAAATATGCTAATATTTGATTTTTTTTTTCTTAAATATGTAATTTAAAGTTTTTCAAATAATTATTTTTTCTTTTTAAAAAGTCAGCGAGTAATAAACTGGAAATTTTAATATTGTACGATTGAAAACTGTGCAATAGCTAATATTTTTACAAGCGATTTTATATAATATTTATTTATTTATTTTTATTTATTTTCATAAAGCGGTTGATAAGCACAATCACTCGTATTAATAAAAAACTTAAACAAACGTTTTGAATAGATTTTTAATGTTAACAAGGAATTTTATTTCTAGTAAAATAAAATAAAATGTTAGAATAAAAATCTTATAGGTATAAAAGAAATATTTCAGCGAAAAAATTATTCTTAAAAATTATTCGAAAAACTATTGACGTTCTATTTTTCAGCAGCTGTTCTTGAGCACGCTTCGTTGAGTTTCAGTAACTTTTAACATAAAAGCGATCGTTATTATTTAAGTAATTTTTTTGAGTTATTTTTTACAAAAATTTTAATAACTGTACTTTTTTATTGAATCAAGTAGAATACGTTTTAATATTTATCCTTTTTTATTTTTTTATTTGCCCTCACCAATTTTTAAAATGTTTCCTCGAAATTACTCTTAAATACTTTAAATACGTCTAACAGTTAATAAATATTTTTAAATCTATGGAATAATTTTAAAACTTAACAAACCCCCGTAAAATAATTATTTAAGTTTAAAATCTCAAAACTAAAAGAAAGTATTTTTGTTCAATTTTATCGACAACTTTGCTATTGCTGAATAATTTTAATTAAATGTTAGCTTAAAAGATTTAAACTTTTTTTTGAATTTTTGAATTTTTTCTACTTGTAAATAATAAGCATATTTAATTTTTTTAAATTCAAACTTTTATTTCAACTGCGTGCGGTTTTTAAAATACTTTATTAAATGTTAAAATAATCGTAAATTACTTCATTAAAATTCCGCTCAAAAATATCTTTAAATATACTCAAACAAAAAATTTTTTGCTCGACGCAAATAGCCCTAGCTACACGCAAAATCGCTCTTGGACGACGTAAAATTCACATCGCCCGACGCTTTATCGCAAGGCCTGATAATTAGTTTTATTAACTTTAACGATTATAACTTTGAAAACGCAATTATTTTTGTAAGTCTTTGTTTAAATCATAAAAATTGCTTCAAAAGATCAAAAGACATTACGATAAAAAACAGATACACAAAATTACATTTACATAAAGAATACAATCTCTTTTAAAATAAAAAATAAGAATGTACAAATAAAATCTATGATTTATAATAAACTTTTAAAATGTTGACAATTTAATTAATATATATTTAAAACATTTATTTTCGTAAACAAATAATATTTATTCTTAAAACAATGCTAGAAATCTCAAAACGTAACAAATCGTGAATAATACAATTTCTAAAACATTTTAACAGAATGCACTAGAACTTTATTTCGCTTAATCAGCGTTTTTTTTGAACCAATAGAATTAGTTTGTTTGTTAATTTGGCGGGTTTTTAGTGTTCGCAAATATTCTTTCTATTCTTTCGCACAAAGATGTTTTGAGAACATTCAAGTATTTTATGTTTCCATGTATGTCCGTAAAACAAAAATTCTTTGTTTCGTACATAAACTTAAATGTTCTCAAAACGACTAAAAAACCTGGCCAGTTTTACGCAACTAAATATAATTTCCGTGGTCAGTATTTGAGAGCGATCGCTCCCGCTTCCCGACCAAGCCTGATACACATTTTACTACTTGATGATGGTGAAAACTATCAAAATTAAGTTAAAAAATAAAATATACCTTCATTGCCTCATCAAACATAATCCTTGCAGTGGAATCAGTTTTCCCACTTAATAACCAAGCTTTTAACAAATATTCATAAAAACTATCTCCTAAAGCACCCAGTGAAACTTGTCCTAAAATACATATTTTAAAATAACTAAAAACCATATTCACAAATTATTTGTGCAAGATTATCTGCATTAAATATCACTGTCAAGTTAAAAGAATTTTTCCAGTCCTCAATATAAAATGCCACCATATTTTGGATCAGCTGTCTTATCAAAATAAGAAATACTAAAAATTAAACTGAATTGCAAATAACTGTAATGTAAAATGTTGTGTTTTAATAAGTAAATCAATCAATATTTAGGGGTAAGAAAAATATATGTAATACATTAACTAAGACTTGTTGTCATGAGTGAGCTTCAGATTAAGATTTGTCACAATAAAAATAAACGAAATTGAGAAACTAACTCAATAAAAAACAGTGTCAATTGAAAATAATATCAAGTGAGAATACTCAGTATCTTAAAAAGGTTCACATTTTAATTTATTTATTTGTATTCTAATACCAAAAATATATTTTTTCTTTTTTCTTCTTACATTTAATCTTAAATGTAATTTATAAATTTGATTGCTAATATAAAATATGGTATTAAACATAATAGCCATGGTTTTCTGAAAGGTAACCATAGTTTTATTAATAGTAACAATATAATAAAAATAATTTAATAATTATTTTTATTATATTGTTACTATTAGCAGGGACAATGATTTGTAGTAAAGAGAAAGAGATGCAACCTTACGATGATGGGAGAGTGGTTCAAACTTGATAGATAGAACACATCCAACTACATTTACAATGCCTATTTTGACCTTGTGTAGAACAAAAAAGGCATCATTAGAAGAACCAGCTAAAATATGACAATAGTATTCCATACAAAGACAAATAAGAGATTAGTAGAAGTATAAAACGTAAAAAAGTAAAAAGAAGAATGAAAACACAACAAAGAGAAGCAACCTTAGAAAAAAATTACTTTACAATAGATTGTATATATGGTTTCTATGAGAGTTCAGTTGTAAATAATAATCCAAAAAAAAACCAAAAGAGAACTCAGTGAGAAAGTTGCCATTTAATTATAAAGGAATGTTAACAGGAATTAAGTTGTTTGCAGTAAATAACTGAGTTTTTTTGGAGTTAAAAGTCACAAGCCACTGCAAGCTCCAAGTTGTTACAAAAGAGAGATTATATTCAAGATTAGCTGCCAGTTCTAAACAATCAAAAAAAAAGATATTTTGTTAAGACAGGAGTATAAGGATGAGTTGTCAGCAAAAAAAAAAAAGCCACTTTAGATACAAGATTGTCAGGAAAATCATGAATGTAAATAAACAATACAGAACCAAGGATAGAACCTTGCAGTACCCCAGAAGGTGCTGGAAATGAAAGAGTGTTGGTCCTCAAGGACGACTTTAATACTGCGGTTAGAAAGAAATGGCTTAATCTTAAAAACTTTTCCAGATACGCTATATGAAGCAAGCATATGGAGAAGACCAGGATGCCAAACTTTAATGAAAGCTTTTAATATCTCAATAGCAACAGCCTTTGCCTCACCACCTTCATCTAATACACAATATAATCTTTTATTTGCGAAATTTAGCAAGTCAGACAAATAATAAGTAGATCGAAATCTGTATTGATTGTCAAAGAGTAATTTACTAGACTCAAGGTGAGGTGTCAGAAATTTATTGATTAAAGACCCAAAAATTTCCCTGATAAAAGAGATAAGACTGATTGGACAATAGTTGAAGGGGTCAGAGTGTTCTTCAGAGTTTTAAGAATTGAAATCACAAATGTCATTCATCATCAAGCAAGCAGGAAATTAAGATTCAGTCAAGCACTTATTAAATAGTTCAGTTAGAGTGAAAGAAAGTTCTGGAGAATACTTTTGTAAGACTATGACCGGAATGTTGTCTGGAACACAAGACGCTATCGAGTTTAATCGAGAATGACTTTAGTAAAAGAGAAGCCAAAATTATCTAATTAACTAGAATGGCAGGAATAGTACTTCACAAAATTTGTATGTAAAGTTGCTTTTCATACTTGTAGAATTGTTATTTAAGTTTGTAATTTTATATTTATTTTTAATTTAGAGTGTTATGATGTAACAATAAACAGTTAAATGCTTAAGAACTACATAAATCTCTAATTGATAAAATTTGAATTAAAAAATAACAATCATAAATTAATAAAATTTGAATTAAAAAATAACATAATAAAAAATAATCTCTAACTAATAATATTTAATAAATAAGGTTCTTTGCAAATAGTTATGCTTGATCCTCAGGAGAGGTAATAAGATTGACCCACGAATTAAAAATTAAATGTCAGACTAGCTTTTATTAATGGCACTGATGAAGATGTCCAAATCTTTGTCTGATGTTAAGCTCCATTATTCTCAGTTTGCTAAATCTGGTATTTTATCTCAGAAGTTACTAGAGACTAAAAAGTCTCTAGAAAAACAATTTTAGGTAAGGTTCTAGAGTTTGAGAAGTCTGTAGAACCTAGAGGTCTGAGAATAATGGAGCTTAGAATCAGACAACACCTTTTTACATAGATTTCTTGCAATAATAAAAAGACGTTTGTCCTCAAGAGTGTTGTTCTTGTGAAAAAGATAAGAAAATCACAAAAAAATCAGTCAGCTTTAGGCTAGTAGTAAGTAGTGCAACGATAGGTAGAGTTCCAAAGAAGTATGAGATAAAAGATATATAGAGATCATTACATGTTTGAAATTATCTAAAGGAGAACAAAGAAAAACTGAACATAAGCTAGGGTCAGAGACTTAAACACAAAACAAGGATTAAAGGTAAGTGATAGGGTTGTCTGGAAAACAAGTTAAAAAGTTAATTATTTGAGTAATAGATTGAAGTTAAGATCATGCCAACAGGGTCATTGGTGTTAAAACCATTCAGTGTGATGAGCATTTAAATCGCCGATAACAACAACAATAACAACAACAATATTGGTTGAAAGATAAAAAGAAAGGGCTTGCTTAATTTTGTTAGAAAATCCATCTAAATAATTAGTCTTGAAAAAAAACACAAGAAAAAACAAAAAAAAAAGGTGATTGAGTAAAGATCTACTAAGCGCAAGCACATAAAAGAATGCTCAGAGTATTCAATCCTGATTTCTCAGATGAATTTATACTGATACCTCAATATAAATTTATACAGATGAATAAATACGCATAAAACAATATATTGAATATATTATATATTATAATTTATATATTTAAAAATATTTGTCATTAAATATTATTTTTTTGTATCATATTGCTATTTGACAAGTACAGGAAATGCAAACAACTCATATCATTTTTTTTAATTTTTTTTTTATGTGCCCTAAGAAGTCCTTACGGTCTTATCACAGAGCACCGTGGATGAGCATTTAATTGGAAGTTCACGCCTCCTTCCTAACCAATGTCGCAAAACTTGCCCAGAGGTAGGGTTTGAACCACGGATCATTTGTTTATGAGGCAAGTGCACAACCACTGCACCACAGCTGCTCTTAAGAACATGTTACTCTGAAATCTGTCTTCCTTTATCCATACTGACTTAGTTAAGTTATATTATCTAAAAAGCCATGCTTCGATGGCTTAAACACCAGCTAATTGTAAAATTCTAAGAGGAACAATACAACCTTTGAAAAGGGCTCAATGATAACTTTTGTGAAAATAGACACGGTGGAAATATAAGAACTCTATGTAAGTTTTATTAATCAGTTATTGCTCCTGTGATTTTCTTCATAATAACTTTTTAAAGTGTTGCCTTTTGTTTTGCATATTATTTTAAGAATAATGTTAAAGCTGTATAAATTATTGTTAAAGGAATGTAAGACTTGATTGTCAGGTTTATCTTAGTGAAGATGCAAGAATAAGTAAAACGTGAGCTGCTAAAAGCATTGAATACTCTTACACAGCAGAAGCTTTGAGTTGTGACTATGTGATATAATATGTTATATAGAGAACTTTAAATGTTTAGGATACCAGGTAAAGATATAAAAAGTCTTGATGTTTTTATTTCTAAATAATTTCATAAGAGCACTATGTGAAGTTTTAAATGTGGACTTTAATTAATTGCAAATTAAGTATGAGGGCCCTGAGATATAAAAAAACAAAAACAAAAAAAACAACATAGGATTCACATGAAAGGGTTCTTATTCAGGCCTTTGATGTTTTATGAAGTGAGCCATAGAAATATATTTATTATTAATAATGTAGTTTATAAGTTAAGGAACCAATACTTTTTAAGAAAAATAATTTTTTTAATGATTCTGAAATAAGTGAGCTTTTATATTATAATTATTTATTTGCATTTGACTTTCATGTCATTTGATTGATGATTTCAAATCATTTTGCAAATATTATAATTTTTTTTTCTTTATTATTTATAAAATATTATCAACTTACTCTGACCCCAAGAGCCTGAGTTTGGATTCATATAGTTTGGATATAAACCGTCTGGTTTGTCTGCCCTCAACAATACATCTCTTATTTTCATTACCTTCAAGAAAATAAATTTATACAAACACAAGTATAAATCTGAATTTTTATATTTAATTATACCAGTATCAAAAGTATTAAAAAGAAAAAAACTTGCCTTATTAGAATATATTTGATCTCCAGTGATCTTTGTAAGATATGTGTATTCCAAATGAAGAGATCCGAATTCGGATAAAATTGAACTGCCACCTGAAGCCCATCCATAATTCATTCCCTGACCACTTTAATAAAAAATACTATTCTATACAAATCTATCTATACACGTTTTAATAATCACTGAAATTAAAAGTTTTACGTTTGAAGATTAACAAGAGCATATGGAATTCCTGTTGGTGTGTTAAACGCAGGCAACATCTTATCAGCAAGTTCTTTGGCTTTGATTTTGTAGACCTACAAAAAATAATAATTTAACAGATGCTTTTTATTAATATAAATAAAAACATTTTAAATTGTTTTGTATTAGAGTTTTTTAAAGTTAAAAGAAAAAAAAAGTCATTTACTAAATTTGTAAAAAAATTTACCTCATCTTTGGTTAAAGCATATGCTGACAGTAATCCTCCAATAAAACGTATGTTCATTTCAAACACTGAAACAAATGAACCCTTAAAAAAAAAAAAAAAACTTAATGTAGAAAGTCATTATAAGAGGTATAAATAAAAGGTCACCTAGCACACCTAGCAGGCTCCTTACTTAAATATATCAGTAAAAAAATGTTCTCTAAAAGTATATCAACCTGGGTCTTAAAAAAAATTTTATAGAGATTTTGCGATTTTTATAATGTTTTGAATTGTTTATTTAAATACTTGTAAAATAAACATTAAATCACTTGTAAACGAAACACACACACAAAATGCATTTAGCTAGTTTTTTAGATTAAAAATCAAAATTTTGAAAAACACATTGAATAACATACATAAAAAAGTTTGTTTAACTAGTAAAATATCTTGGAATATTTCCTCCATTATTGTTTAATCAAAAAAGTCATGTACTAATTTAAAACTCTTTAAAAACAGAAATTAACACAAAATAACTGTGTTAATAACTAAACAGTTTTTTATTAATCAAGATCAGTATCTCATGTTTCATGTCGAATCCATTTTGATGAATTATATTTAAATTATGTATATTTAAGTTCAATATGATCCGGTAGTTAGGCAGCAATAGAGGCCTTGAGATCTACAGTTCAACCTGACACCAAGCCTCATTTTAAAATTTAATAAAAGATTTGCCATTATGGCAAACCTTACCGCCAGGTTGATTCATCATACCTATTCTTATTGGTCTATTAATTTAATAGTTAAAAAAAATAGATATTACAATAATTTTGTATTATATTATATTGACAACTCTGCCTGTTCATAACTTACAGCCAGCCAATGTATTTACATTTCCACATACTTACATAAGAGTCACTTAAATTATGTACAGTCTGTTGCACTTATCACTATTTGATAAGTGCAACAGACTGTTTATCTTTATCTTTATTTCATCTTGTTTATCTTTATCAGTCTTCTCCGCTAAACGGAGAAGACTGATAAAGATAAACAAGATGAAAATAAAAAATATACTAGGTATACCTAGGTGCATAATACAGATAGGGGTGGGTTAGGATGGTGAAGGTATTAAATTTTTTGAAAAATATTCCTGTTTGCTAACCTTACCCACCCCCCATTTATTAACTTTAGTTTGTTGTCAGCAATATATAAATATAATATATAAAATCTGACTGATAAAAATAAAAGCTTTTATAATTAGTGTTATTTTTTTCTGAGAAATCCTGTTTGATTGTCCTATAAATTCATCCCTCCTGTGAACCTGGAAAATCCTTTTTTATTAAATTCTCCCTCTTGTTTTTAGATCAGAACTACGCAGCTTCTACTATGGTATCTCATGTTTATTACATCAAAGGAAATATGCCTTCCTCTCTTTTTTTGTATTACGCACATGAGAGTTTTTTTTTAAATAGAAAAAGTGCATTAAACTTAATCGTATTTACTCTTAGCCACCTTAAATAATTTGGAAGAAAAACAAAGTGACATCGTTTAATTGAATATGAACAACTTTTTTCTTTTAAAAAAGATTTTTTTTTTTATATTAGAGACCCATCTGATGTTTAAAGGGATCCCAAACTCCCAACACATGTTGTGTTCATATTAAAGATAATGTTAAAAAAAAAGGTTTGAACTAATTGGGAAATACCAAATATATGTTTTTTAATGCGCGTTGTGACATTTTGACAATTTAAATTACCATCTATCTTGAATTATTGCCATTAATTAATGTGTTAATTATTGCGTTATTTAATAATAATTTGCTCGTACAACTTTTTTTTCATAACCTTAACAGGCTCTAATTGGTATGGAGTTGTCGACATTTTAAAAGTTTCATTATCAAAAATCAAATGTAAAATAAAATGATATTTCCTTTTTATCCGTATCCAATTCAGCAAATTTAGCAATTTAAATTAAATCAGCGTAATCAAAAAAATTTTATATTAAAAAGTTAACAATTCACCAAATATCTCTAATTAATACTGTCAGTTTATGAAAGTAATTGTTAATAAATATTTTTTTTCGACGGAAAAACAAAAAATGTCATAGCATAAAAATAACCAGAGAAGTCAGAAAATAGTTCCGATTGTTTAAATGAAAATAAGTAAGATTCAGAATATATAATACTGCGCTCTCTTGCACAAAAACGAGAGAACGTATACATAACATTCTTTATAATGTAAAAAACTCGTATGAAAATCATAAGATTCTTAAGCAAAGCTTTAATATTTGTTTCAATTTAAAAACAAAAGAATTATAAGTAAGATATATAAATCTAAAAATTATTAAGATATCAGTAAAAAAAAAGTTGCTCCTTTTATTATTTTTGATTTTTACAAAAATTTGTTGTAAAAGTTGTTTTGCTGTATGTTAAAAAAATACTACATCATACTTTTTAGCAGACAAAAAGTGTCTTATTTTTAAGCTAATTTTAGGTTGCATGGGCGATGTGGGGCTTTTAAATAATTTCTATACTTAGTTTTTAAATTTCTTTGGGACACTCTTTCAAGTCCCTCTGTAATCCAGTGGTACGAAGGACTTGCATATATTTTTAAATTGCATAGGTTAATAGCCAGCGCTTTATATTATAAACCACGAATTTTTATAACAAATTTTTAATAACTTTTAGTTATAAAAAAGTATATTTTAAAATATATTTTTTTATCTTTACTTTTATTACTATTTAATTAACTAATTAGTAAAAAAAAATTATAGCCCCCTCTCCTTATAACCTCCCCCCTTTAATATAGATTTCTCCTGGTAAGTACATTACCAGTGTTTTCTTTGGTTGATTTTAAAGTTGCCCCCCCCTCCCCTAGTTTCGCCACTGAGTACTGACATTTACTTAAAACTAAAAATAGAGGTGTTCAATTTAATAAATTTTAATTATAAAGAAGTATATTTAGAAATATATTTTTTTTGTCTTTACTTTTATTATGATTTAATTGATTAAATAATAAAACAAAATTTAAGTTTATACCCTCCTCCCCCTCCCCTTTTAATATAGATTTCTCCTAAGAAGTAAATTACCAGTGTTTTCATTAGTTGATTTTAAAGTGAACGCGTGTTTTTTCCTGACCCTAAGTAGGATGTTTAGAAATGCTAAACTGTTTATAAAAATATGTATTCGTAAAAGTTGCTGAGGTTTTTAACATTGTTTAAATATCCATTGTATTTTTTCTAAATGCATTACTACTTTAATTAAAGTTTGGAATTACTTAACTAAATCATTTTTATTTATAATAGCTTGATTATGTGTTGTTTGATCAAACAATAAACTATAAATGTAACTTAAAAGAGTGTTATAAAAGTAACAACACTGTAGTATTATTACTTTTGCAGTCATAAATTTATTGTTTTGTTTTTCATAACATTTTCACTAACAAATTAAAGTTTATTCGCATATTCTGTAAATTTCGTGGTTTTCCATAAACTGAAACTTTGAAGACCAGATAATTTCACAGAATCGCAAATCCCGATGCCTTAATTCAACTATTGCAATCTTAGCTATTTCAAACAACACTAAGTACTGTATATCTTCTCCAAGTAGTTCATAGTAAATCTAAATAGCTTAGTGAAATCAAAATTTACAATGTGGACAGTGTGGTACTTAAAGCACACTAATAAGGTTTTTTAGCAACTTAACTTCTAAAATTAAAAATATGAATAAGTTACATTGACATGTGTTATGCTTTATCCTTGCTGCAAGAAATCTCGTAAAAAGGTCTGCAATATCCATAAAAATCTTTCATTAAAAAAACTTTTACATTTTAAGAATGTGAACTAAAACATTCTGATATTTGTAATCATAAGGGCACTTTATCAAACTTTATTAAAGCATACAAAACTCTTTAATGTCAAAAATAAAATAAAATAAATCAATTAAAAATGCATTTCAAAATACAAATAAAATCATATTGAAATATGTTATCATTAAATACTGATTTTATCTGTTAAAGGATTTATTTTTCTTTGTCTTGCTTGTATGCTAATATAGATTAATAGTTTTTTTTTTTTTTTAATAACAATATATAGTAAAAACATGGTTTTAAATAAATATAGGCCATTAAGTAATATTGGTTTGATATATATGCATTTATAAAAATAGAGATATTATATAATTATTGTGACCTTATTGTGCAACTTATATTATTTACTTTTATTTGAATTTCTTAAATTAATAATTACATGCTTGAAAACAATTACAAAAAACTACCTAATATATATTTTATTTGTTGTTAAAAAAACTTTGCTATATTTTCAACAGACTTTATTAAGCAAAATAAAATACAGTTTATGAGTTACTTAGTATCAATGAAAACAGTCAAGTAAAACTTAATAAAAATTATTATTAGAAACATCACTTTTGAGCTATGAGATATATTTAAATCTGTTTTTATTTTATTAGTGTGATTTATTTTTTTGTAGATCTTTTAGCAGTCTTATCAAAGCTGGTATCAATTGTTCATTTTTTGCATGCATACTAAAGAACACAATGTCAACACATTTAGTGTCTTTAGTTCTGTTTCCAATCATGGTTTTTGTCCCATATAAATATTATTATTATATTATACATTATTTCAGTATTAGTTTGATTTATTAGTACATTTTATTATTATATAAATACATTAGTACATTTATTAGCATTATTAGTACTATTTCACTAGTACTAATAATGCTAATAATAATTAGTTTAATATGCTTTACCATAATAAATAAACTATTTTCATGCTTTCAATTTTTATTTATGTAAAAGAATTTCCCATTTTTAGTTGTAAAAGTTAAGCTCCAGTGACCAAGATGCTTTAAAAGTTCATATAACTACAATTAGTATTATTTTTAACTTTACTATTATTATTCCTACTTTATTATTTTCAATTTAAATAACTGTTTTATGTCCTTGCAGAGCTGTTCCGAAAAGGTCTTCCTGGGATAGGAGGGAGGGGGGGTTGAACGCATTTTTTGCCAACTAGAGACACCAAAAAAAAAAAAAAGTCCTCAATATTTGCCATTTGCCAATTATAGTTCAAAACTTATCCAATGTGCCAACACAAATGCTTATATGACAGCTTTGGGGGGTACAACCCTCATTCAGGATGATCATGTGTCCTTGTTAGTTGTTACATTTTATCAGTCAACTGTTTTATAACTAACTTATATGTATACTTAGCTATTGTATATATAAAAATAAGTGACTTGTTATTTTTATTATTATTGTTATTATAATTATTATTATAATTGTAATTGTTTTTATTATTATTATTCTTGTGGTTCTTATGTTTATTACTATAAATAATATTTTTATTATTATAATTACAATTCTTATAATTATTACTAACTATATATATATATATATATATATATATATATATATATATATATATATATATATATATATATATATATATATATATATATATATATATATATATATATATACATACATACATATATATATATATATATATATATATATATATATATATATATATATATATATATATATATATATATATATATATATATATATATATATATAAATAAAGATCTATATTTTTGGTGTTTATTTAAGATTAGTAGAATTACTATTTGTAAATATCCATGAAATTATTTTTCAAAATATATATGATTGATTGATAATATATTAGCGCTATTTACATATAATGAGAAAAATCAAAGAAATTTTCGTTTTTATCAACCTGATTTTTCCATCAAATATGTTCAGCAAAAGAAAAAAAAAGATATTTTGAGACGTGTAAAAAAAGAAATCATAAAAAAATTTAAACATGTTAAATTTTATTTTATATTAGTGCTACTTTTAATATTTTAATTTTATTTTGTATGGTTTTGTTATAATGATTTATTTTATCCAAAAAAAATTGGAAAAAACATTAATCATTACAAACTTTTAATCTCATAAAGAGTTTAATTTTTATTATTAAAAAAAAAAAAATACTTTTTCTATGGATATTCTTTATTAATTCTATTTATTAAAAAACTTCGATTGAAAAACTTTTTCTATGGATATCAGGAATGAAGAGTCCCAAAAGAACTCTGACTTTATCTCTTTATTTTTCCTGGCCTCTGGTTTCCAGAAGCTCTCAACATTTTGGTTGGCTCATGATCCGCAATATAAAAAAAAATTCATGAAATTTGATGACTTTGAAATATAATATCCTTTCCGCCATTATACCTAAGTACTCCGGGTTCAAAAGGTGATTGTTCCTCTAACCTAAAAGCCTTAATTTTTTTATTAATAGTAGTCCACAAGCGTTTTTTATATTATAAAAACTCCTGGATACCAAAAACTAGGAAGAAGTAATCTTTTTGTGACATTCAAATTTTTGGGACTTCGCATTCCTGATGGATATTATATGAAAAATTCTTTATTAATTTTATTATTAACTTTTTAAAATAATATTTCGAGGGAGTTTAGATATCCTAGTTATCAAGAATAAATATACATAATGTTATCAAGTATTAACATATTTAACAACAAAGGTATCTAATATCCCTCGATTTATTGTATTGAAAAATTAATAACAGAGTTATATCTATAGAAGTTTTTTATTTAATTATTACAAGTATTTACATTTGATGTAATATAGCTCTTGCAATGTCTTATATGTTTATATTTATAAGAAAAATAATAGTTTAGAAAAACAATATTTAATAATAGTTACATGAGCTTTATATAATTAACAGATTGTGCAATATCAAAATAGTGAAAATAGAAATTTCCTTATAATTTAGAAAAAATTTTGATTAAAAAAGTTTTTTAAATTCCATGTAAACATGTTATATCACTGCATCAAAAAATGTTTAAAGTAAATAACTTGAGTTTTTTTTTTTTTTTTTTTTAACAAGTAATATTTTTTGTTTGTAATATTTCTTTCTTTTTTTTAACTTTTTAAAAGTAAAAAAATTATTATTATTTGCAAAGCTGCAATTTTAAAAAATAATGAAAAGAAAAGAAAAAAAAAGATTCATTTAAACAAATGTCGAGAAAAGAAAGAAATTAATTTATGTTAAATGGCAATAAAAAATGTAATAATAAATTTATTTAATATTAAAAAACAACAACAACAACAACAAAAAATTGAAACAAAATAGACATACCACAATATGTACATTAACAAAATAACACTTCTAGATTTCTTAATTAGTAAATTACACTTATTTTGCTGTAATTCATTTTATTGTGGTGGTTTAAAAAAGTTAATGTCTGTAAATTAAAAGAAATAAATAAAAATAAATTTATGATTTCAAAACCACAACGAGCTAATGTGCTAAGCTCTTTTATTTAAAACAATGTTTGTAACTGCAACCTTTATGCTATTAAATATGATATTCTGCAATCTGTAGTAATTTATTTTAAAGAAGTTATTAAACAAATAATTTTAGATTGATGATAATAGAATTTATTGCTGAATCAGTTTTGGATTTTAAAAATCTTTTGAAAATATTTAGCTTTATTTTTCAGAAAAGTTTAGGATTGATGTATACTAGTGATTACAATGACTAGTGATTCAATTCACAATTTAAATTAGTCATTTTCTCATTTTTTTAAATTCTTTATCCATTTAATGTTATTATTGTTAAATTGCAAGTTATCAAAAAATTAGTGTTGTTTTAAAAGTATTATCATAAGAAAATTAAAACTTTTTAATGTTGAACTTTTTGTTACATTTATTGCATTAATATAACAATTTATATTGTAAACTTTGGAATTTATAAAAATCTTATTTTTTTTTCATATCAAAAACTATAATTTTTCATCAAAATTTGTTTTTAAAATGTTATACCATTTTAATCTAATTTAAATTTATAAATATGACCTATTTTTTATAGCATATACTAATAAATTTTAAAAGTTATAAATATATTTTAACTTTTTTTCACACATATATGTTAGTAGAATGTGTAATACTTTACATGAGATAATTTTACCATCTTACTGTAGAAAATGATAAATGTTCTGCTATCCAGTTTCGTGCTACTTTTAATTCTTCTTTCATACCCATAATATACAAAGTATCCAGTGCATCAACAATCGTTGCTCCCATACTTGAATCCCCAAATATCCCTGCTGAATGTCCTGTTTTTGAAATTGGCTTCAATTCATTTTGACCCATAGCATACTTTGTGTAACCATCCCAGGCAAATTTCATCATCTAAAAAAAAAAAAACAGAAAATTAAAACATTGTTCTTTTAAAATAATTTGAAATACATTATAGCAGTAAAATAGCAAATTAAATAAAAACTATGATGCAAGAACTGTGATACAAGAATTGTGATACAAAAACTATGAAGATAATAATAATAAGAACTATGATGCGCAGGAAAAAAAAAATCATTGTGTTTTACTGGATTGCAAAAAGACTAAATTCATATATTTATAAAAAAGGGAGACAATTCTAACTGATCAATATATAAAACTTTTATTACCATGATTATTAATATAAAAACAGGAAGTTTATATAGTTACAAAAAATAAAACTCGTTCCTAAAAGTCCTTTAAAGATATCACAAATCTTGCCTGATGCTTTATGGTCATGAATATTTTGAAAATATCACTTTTGTTTTATTTTTGTTTATTTCCCTTCAATTAAATTAAAATATTCAAAACACCTTTTAATGATACTGTTCACAACATACATTTTTACTTATCAAAAAACTCTATAATAAATGCTAAATATAATAACTAAGAGTTATTTGCTTTTTCTTATTTAGTCTTGTATCCAAAATTGAAGATTGACTAACAGAAAAACATTGAACAACATGGCTGTTAAATTATTCTTGTCTAGGGATGTAATGGAATTCTGGCCGGAATGTGTGTCTTTTAGATCAATTCGCTTCTAAATAACACTAATGTAATTTTATTTGCAAAAATAGTAGTACTGCAAATATAAATGCAAAAATTACCTATAGTTCTTTATTGCACTGTAGGATGATGATTTTTTCATTTATTTACACAGCCTGTGTCACGTCATAAAAATTAAAAAAAAAAAAAAAATTAAATTCCAGCCAGAAGCGAATTAATCTAAAAGACAGCTGGAATTTTGGTACATCCCTACTCTTGTCTGATACTTTATGGACATTATAAAAAGAAGTGACAAACTTATTCTGATTTTTGTTTTTTTTTGAATTGAAATCGGCATGAAAAAAATACCATGCATTAATTATATAACATTTAGAACAGGCATTGTTCTGTTAGTTTTTAAATTGAAAAACCATTCCAAAGAATATAGTGACAGACAACACACACATACCACTCTATTATTACCCATACAAAAAGATTCACAAGTTTTTTTTGTTAAATTTATTCAAGTTTCTAGCTTTACTATAGTTGACTAAACTTTTTTAAGCTTTTAGCTTAACTAGAGTAAAAGTACCACAAACCAGACAGTGCGTAAAAGCAGACATTTATCGAAAAAACTAAATATAAAAATATTTACAAAATTTAAAAAAGTTTTTAATTTTTACTGTATGGAAAATTAAAAATTAAAAAAACTAAAATTATTCAGATGACTGTTTTAATAAGATATTTGGGATGACTGGATGTGGTTCAGGGATAGAGTTTTTTATGCTGGTTTCTAGTAATATAACTAAAATATATAGATAACGTTACATACATAATTGCTGTTTCCATGGGATAATATTTCTGTGTCTGGAACATGTCAGACCTAGCTTTTAGATCCAGAAGATAATATAAATTTAATGCATAGATGTTAAATCTATTATAAGTAATCTAAAGTATGGCTGGGTTGGCTGGTTCAGGGATAGAATTTTTATGCCGGTTTCTAGTAATACTTGACTCTTGTACTGGAACATGCAATACTTACTTCAACAAACATTGCTACGTGTGTATGTATGTATATATGGATGCAGGCCTTGTTTTAAAAAACAAATGCTTAATGCATTAGCTTAAAGTGAATTAGACATAAAATTCTATTTATCTTTTTATTTTTTAAAGACATCAGAACTACCACAATACTTTTAAAGACATCATAAATACCGCGAAACGCAATCATTAAAAAAAAACTCAATTCACAAAAAATAAAATTGTTTGTTTTCTTTAAATTTTGTTTTTATTATTAAATAATCAAAATAAATATTAAATTTTTAAAAATGTTAAACTTTTTTTTTCTCGACATCAATATAAATGCATTAAAAATTAATTTATTATTTAAAATGTTAAAATATTTATTATTATTATTATCATTATATCTTATTTTTTAATTTCGGCTTTACTACTAAAAAATAATTTTTTATTTTTAAAAAGTTAGTGAGTAAAAAATTAAAAAAATTAACTTTAAATATATTTACTTTACCAGCGATTTATATTTGTTAACAGCAAGTTTTGTACGTTTAAAACGAATGTATTGTGAAAATTTTTGATGTGGCCTCAGAAATGGTCTACAATTTTTAGTATAACAAAAAATGAAAAAAATTAAAATATTCTAGGACAGAATGGCAAAAATTATTGAGATAAAAATGATCTATTTTTTTTCAAGAAAAATTAAAATTAAAATATTGAACAATATTTATTAATATTTTAAAATAAAAATGACAGTTAAGATCTACTCAAGCATAAACTTAAATTTTATTATCAATATAAACTTATATATTTTTATTATCTATATAAACTTATATATATTTTTTTATCAGATAATTATTTCACAAAGAGTGTCTGTTAAAATATCATCTTTGCTATCAATATCGCTATCTGTGTCATCTGTATCGCTTTGTTGTTGATTATTTGATCAAAGTCTACTAAACTTTTCTGAATTTCTTGATCACCTGTAGTAGTTAGACATTTTCTACGCTTTTGCATATTTTGCGAGAAAACTCTCAATAATTTCGTCATAATCTTTAACCAACCAAAGACTGTAGTTTCCAAGAATTACAACACAATCACAATTACAAGAGAGTCTTTTATCTGATAAAATGTTTGTGACAGTGCTAGATGTCCTTTCAATTTGTGAATTCGAACCAGATTGACTCAATTAAGGGGTAAACAGATTCTATCTGTTGACCAGCCTCACACCCCTTCTTCATCTATTAGGCTGGCGCAGATGGATTTTTAACACATTGTTTCCAGTTTAGGATGTTATTATCTCCTAATGAGTGTACAGCTCTAAAACTCAGTTTTATGGTTCTGAGGCCAGCTAGTAGTCAGGCATCCTGAACTCTGTGGTAGCTAGTGTAATGCAATGGATTTTTATCAACCATGGGCGACTCTGCTGCAATTGTGTCAGTACACCATTATGCACACCAAACTTTACACTTGCACCATCTGGTAATATTAGCATACTTAAAAATTTCTATGATGTCAGTGTAATTTCTATATGTCAGTATATCAGTATAATTAGCGTAAAATTATATGTAGTAAATAGCGGTTCTCGTCTAATTAAAACGCTATTCAATTTTTTGCTAAAATACTACCATTATGATTACACAAAATATCATCATTCATTATTATATTTTAAGTTTTGACTTTATTTAAAAAAAAAACGTTTTTGTGTAATACAAGTTTGCTCAAACTACTCTGTGTTTTTAATTGAAATCACCTAGTTTAAAGTCCCAAAATTACAGGGTTTTAATTGCTTTTTAAATAAAAACGAAACATAGCAAAAAATTTTAATATTTTAACAATACAAAATATTTTTAAGTTATATTCAAAAAATTTGTAATTTTATCGTTTTCAACGTTTGAGTTAATAAAATTGAAAAAATAACAGACTACCTTTTTAGTTATTTCTTTTTTTTTTGGCATAAAACAAAGTAGTTTCGTTTCAATCAAAAATGGCTTAAAATTCATTTTTTAATGATTTATATAATAAATTTTTTTGATAACGAATCATTAGATTCCACAAATTAGTTCTAATTAATATATTGTTATTTTTTTACTTAATGAATGTTATTTTTTTAAGTTAATTTAAAGTGCCCATATTACTAAGTGGTCTGGGTAATATGACCACTTATGCTACTTTTTTAAAACCTCTGAGTTTTAAAGAAAAAAATATTAGGTGTCCCAATATCTAAATAGATTGTAAATAGTGATCCCTAAAAATTGTTTATTTGAAAAATTTTTGGATTACGAATAATTAATTTAGAAAAAAATTCAATTTTTGCTCAAGGTACCCTAATCTACCCTAACAGTTGAATAAAATGTTATAATGGCAAAAATGGTATTTTACTCATATACCAGAAAAGTTTTAAATCTTACCAAAACAGAAAAATGTGAGTGAGGTATCATAGGATGGCACACCATTTCATAGGCAATTTTTTAGCGCAATCTGGAATTGCTACCGCAATTCCAGATTGCGGTAGCAATTTATCATTAGCATTTCTTTCTCAAGGTGGCCACACAAAATTTTCATAAAAAAAGAGGATATTAAAGGATTTTAGAGGAGATTTTGCATTAAATTTACTATAAAATTTTAAATAAAAATAGAGGATTTTAGTATAGTATATTTAGATTTTATTTTTGTATAGGTTTAACATCCATGTTTTGCCACTTGGGTGGCTCTGAAAGATTTTTTTAATGTGAATTATTAAGTTAAATGACTTAGATTGCTGAGGCAGTTTTTATAACCCAACTCATGCCTTCCTGGCATTAACCAGTTTTGCAGACCAGGGTATTCATAACATTATACTAAAAGCAATAAATGAAATTTGATTACATGAAATAAAATTTATATATTTTTTTATTAATGAAATCGTTCCTTAAGTTCTACCAGCATTGCTTTTTTGCATTTCAATTCACAGAGAATACTCTCTTTGTCAATTGCAGCTCTTTTCAAGGCATTACATTTGGATAAGAAAGTTATATCATTCTTTTTTTCTGCCTCAAATCTCAAGTTATCAGCATCTTTTTGAAACTGGACTATAGTTTTTTCTAAAGAGACAACCTTAATATTTATTTCCTGAATTTCTAAAGCAATCTCAATCTCTTTTTCATTCTCCTCCTTGCTCAATTTGATTTTAGATTTAGTGATTGTTGATATTTTTGACGAGAAGATTTCACATACAATAACAAATTCTTTGACATGGGAAATCTGTGAGGTTCAACATTTTTTTCATTTCATATAGTCCAATATTAATCGTTGAGAAATGACTTTTCATGTCAAGATTTTCAACAAGAAGCATTTTGTTTTCAGTAAATCCG